CATTATCAGCTGCTTCTCATTAACCTCCCCTGGATGTTTCAGTAAATGACTCAGCACCTGGACTCCTTAATGCGGTTAGGTTATTTTGAATCACAACCTCATAAAATCACTTAAAAGTACTCTAGAAATTCAACATCAACATTTCTTCCTGAAGCCTTGTTTCTGGAGTCCAAAACAACCGAGTCTTTGCTATTACTTTTCAGAAAATGACTAGGCCAGAAGTCATGAACCCATCAGTCCTGGAAAGTGGCTTGCAATCTTTTCCAGCATGCGAAGCAACACTTGTGTGTGTGTGTGCATGGGCGTGTGTGTGTGTGCACATATGTGCATGTATGCATGCATTGCTGATCAGATTAAGATTCAGAGCCTTACATATGTTAGGCAAGCATTCTATCACTGAACTACATCCTAAGCCTAAGAGGAACACACACATTATCTCTCTTTCTCAAAGTAATTGTAGCTGGACAGCTAAAATTCATTGGACAAATGCAAATACATTGTTGAGGAAAAGTTAAATTATGAATATAGAATGAAAATAAACCTATTTCTGTAAATTTGTCACAAATCCCCATGTCATTCAACAATATTACGTAGCTCCTTTTTATTTTCTAGGCTAGATTTAGATACCATTAGTTTTCCTCATATATCCTTATTTTAAAGGTTTTGCCTCCTATGCAACAATGGGTGGTTCTTGTGGCTTTTGCTCTCCTGGCATCAACACAATAGCAACAAAATGACATCATGATATATTGGGAGCATAACACCTTAAGCTTTCTGAGTAAGATCTCCAAATGCTACCAAGTCTAAACGGAAGCGAAGGTGTTACTGACATCCTTGTTTCTCCTTCCTATGGTAGATATCAGGAGAGATTAAGTCAATGTGTTAGGAATATGTGAATAAGCTTGATTATGAGATATCTACATTATCCCAGGAACTTAGGGAATCATGGCTGGGTTCTAAGATGATTTTTATAGTGATAATATGCAAACTATCCTAAGTATCTGCCATCACCAGGTTGGGAAGCAATGAGTGGGGATTTTGTTAAGAGGACACACAGGCAAACACATCTTAGTTATAGCAGCTGGATGGAATAACAGGAAAAGGAACAGGTCAGGAACACTTGACAGAATTCCACAACTGCTCCACGGGCTGGGAGTTCAATGCATTTGTAGGGCAAGTCCTGGATGATATGAGACCTCTGAAGCAGCTGTGTACATGACTAGGTCTACACTTGCTCAAAACCAAACTGAAGAAATCTTAAAAGATTTAATAATACAGCCAGTTAGAGCAATGCATGACCAGCGATTTACAGCATAGCTTGAGGCATTAGTGTCCAACTCTCAGGAGGAGAATCAGCCCTTCTGAACATTTGGCAAGTATATAAAATCCCTGAGCCTAAATCTTGTAGGTTGGAAAGCAAAAACAGATATTATACAGTAATCAGAGTATCTATCTGAGTTATTCTATTTTAATAACTACTGTTCATTAGTATTAGTGGAAGAACCAAAGACAAAAATTAAGAAAAACTGGTAGGAAGACTAAAAAGTGACATATTGGTTAAATTTAAGCTTAATATGAACTGAAAGTTATTTCTTACAATGAGCATCGAAATAAGAATGAATCCAAATTAACTTATTTGGTTGGTTTTCATTTTATCACTGTGGTATAATTTATTATTAATTGCCTCTGGCTTATTTTAGAGATTAGTTGTCTGGGACTTATTTCCTTTGAACACTGTCTCAAAAGTAGAGATTTCCTAAAACAGTAAAAGCTCTTACTTGAGATGGTTGCAAAGATTAACCTCAATTTTGGCTGGAGTCTAATCTTGTCTGGATTTGGTTCAATGATAGGAGAACAGCTGTGTTTATAAGAAAGATCAAAGTTTTGGACTTAACAATCATTAGAAACAAGGAGGCCAGCAGCACTTTCTTTTACAAGAAAGAAATATTCAATACAGCATTATAAATACAGTTGGCAGAAAGACATTTTATAAATCCAGTTACTCAAATTGTTCAAAAAGGCTGAGAAACCAGGTGATCTCTATTTTACTTTGCATTCACTGTTAATGTGAATTTTATGAGCTTACATAAATGTTACAAATCTCAAGGTATTCTGTTAAAAATTAGGTGAGAAGGCACGTAACTAAGTAACAAAGTCATCAAGTTAACAGAGCTCAAGCCCCACTACTGATACTCAAATAAAACAAAATCGGGAAGAAAAATAAGGTGTATTCTAAGAATTCCCAGGGGCTGGGAAGGTGGCTCAGTGGTAGAGCGCTTGCCTTGCATGCATGAGGCCCTGGGTTCGATTCCTCAGCACCACATAAGCAAAAAGAAAAAAGCCGGAAGTGGCACTGTGGCTCAAGTGGTAGAGCGCTAGCCTTGAGCTGAAGAGCTGAGAGACAGCGCCCAGGCCCAGAGTTCAGGCCCCACGACCAGGGCCCCCCCCCCAAAAAAAAAATTCCCAGACATAATGTCCCTTAAACCTATCAAAACAACTGTTTCTACTAAGATACTTTTAAATCTAGAACAGCTAGATAGGCTAGAAAGTGGATTAAATGCTTTGACTTCCCCCAAAGTCTGTTGTCCATACAGGCAAAGGAAACTACATCTGTTGAATTTGAGTAATGGATATGTGTGTGTGTGTATTACATTTTTTCTTACCTTTCAGGTACCCTATTTATTTTACTCAGGTAATAAGTGGCTGTTCTAAATGAAAATCAGGCCAATTAAAAACATCTACCTATGCTTTCAAGGGCACAACCCTGCCAATGTATGATTAGAAATACTGTTTTGAAATTCTTTTTCAAATGCTTATTAAAATGTTTCTGAAATCACCAAGGTGTGAAAGAAACAGAGTGTTCTGTCCTGTCCTTGTTACTGGGCACACAGCTGATAAAGATATACTGGAACAGAACGCTACTTGTGGGGATTTAACCAGGTCTCGTGAAGGGTTTGTGGGAAACAACCATCATAATGGTCATCTTTACTTTGCAAACTTTATTTCTGCACAGAGCAAAGGCTACCACTTGGTATTGCATAAAGTTGGATCAAAGTGAGTTGAATTTTTGAGCCACAGAAAACCATGGAAAGAGTCGAATGCTACTTTTACTCTTCCAAAACTCTTAAAACTAGTCTGGTGGACAATGTCTCAGGATTCTCCAATCAGTAGTTCTGGGATCATGTCTGATTTTAGACAATAATAGTAATAAAAAAAAAAACCCAGACAGAAATGTGCAAACCAGATTTCAATGTCTTTTCTACGGACATGAGATTTAAAACAGCCACAGGAACATTTCTAGGTCAGTGTCAATATGTAGTTACAAAAGTAAGAAATAAATTGGAGTCTGTGGGTGTAGGACTTTCTGTTTTGGCATGGGAAAGACAATGAAATATTCAAAACATACAGGCCAAATCATAAAAACAAGTGAGACTTATGATCACATCATTTTGAAAGGGTAGGATTTAGCTCTGACATCTTGCAGATTTGTGATAGCTTGACTTTTGCTTTAGCAGTTTTAAATAATAGAAGTTTTAGAACATAAGTATACTTTTTCTTTCTACATTGTCTGAAGAAGAAATCACGAGGAAAACTTCAACAGAAAAAAAGACATTTTTATAAACAAACATGAAAAACCAAAACTTGGAAATATACCATCTCTGAACTTGTGTGTGTGTGTGTGTTTTGCTAGTCCTGGGGCTTGAACTCAGTGCCTGGGCACTGTCCCTGAGCCTCTCTGTGCTCAAGGCTAGCACTCTACCATTTAAGCCACTTCCAGTTTTTTCTGTTTATGGGGTACTGAGGAATCAAACCCAGGGCATGCATGCCAAGCATGCACTCTACCTCTTAGCCACATTCTCAGACCGATCAAGTGTTTTTTGTTTTTTGGGTTTTATTGCATCAGGAATTTGAGGTAATGAGTAATAATTAATTTCCCCAAAACATATACTCTTAACCAAATATATGCATATTTAAAGGAACAAAGTATACTTGAGGGAAAAGAGCATCATTATACCATTTCAAATAAATTGAACACAAATTAACAAAACAGAAGTTTGAAAGTAGTCCTGTAGCTTATATGTAAGACTGAAAAAGATAACAGAGATTAGGGTGGTATCCTTCACATTTCTTGAGAATGTCTTAGTGTATAAATCCTATTTAATTCACAAATGGAACCACCATTTTCTTCCCAGGATAACACTTCCAATCTCCTATTGACAACAGCATTTACACAACTACCACTCATTTGTGTTCCTAGACAGTTCCCCCTTATGGCAGATGGCAGTCGTACTCACTAAATTTATTCCAGAGACTCCATTCTTAGATAACCACATCCAAAATATCCATCTCATCAAACTCCCTCCTTAAACAATTCACTTTATCCTTAAAACTGTTTTTAAGACAACAATTTTCTAATATATTGGACCAAAAAAATCTTAATTTTGTGGATACATACTGAAATGACAAATCTTCTAAGACACTAATGATACTCTATCCATTTTGGCCCATCCTGATGCTTTTTAGAGACCTTTGTCCCATCACATAGACTCTGTCAATAGGGATATCAAAATCCCTTGCCCTTTATTTTCCTTTAAAGTTCAAAATCTGCATCTGAGTAGATTATCTAATTTGGTTAATACTGCGTTAAATAATTGACTTGGAAATGTGAAACCACCAACTTCCTTCTGTCTTCCAAAACATCTATGAGATTTTAGCCCTTCATTTTCCTATAAAGTTCAAAATCTGCTTCTGAGTAAATTATTTATCTAATTTTGTTAATATTGCATTAAATAATTGACTCAGAAATATGAAGCAAGCAACGTCCTTCTGTCTTCCAAAACACCTATGAAAGTTACCTATAACATTGTCCTGTCTCTTAAAAGACAATTTTCTTGTCTTGTAAAAGGTAATTTTCTTGATTTTGTAAGATACTTATTGTAAAAACCCACGCACACACGCACGCAACATGCGTGCTGAAATAGAAGAAAACAGAGTAGGAAAAGTTTTCCAAACTATCAACATTTTATTTAACAAGAGACTACTGAGACATTTCTAGTGTTTACAGTATATTTGATACAAAAATAAGGAATTCTCAAAAATATGTACTAAAAATACAAAGTTTCCAAGTCCAGAGAAGATGTACATTACACTTCAGTCACCCAAAACAAGAGCTTGTGGTCTCCTCCAATTGCACACAGTGGGAGAGTTCGATGCCAGGAAAGGCCAGACCCCACAGCTACAGAACCAGTGAGGATGGGCTGCAAAATATGTAAAGAATTAAAGAAGCACAAAGTTAATAAACAAAAACTAATAAATTATCTCTGTTTAAAGCACAAACATATGAAAAATATGCTCCTGTAGAGATGAAATACACAACATTTACTTGCAGCTGGCTTGAATGAAGGTTACAAGTCATCTATGAATAACTTGCACAGTCTAGAAACAAACATTTTCAGTCTACACCAAGTAAGCAAGCAAAATTAAATTAACATACTTAAATGAAAAACAACAAAGAAATATGCTTCTTACATAAATTTTGGCAGAAAGAATTTCTATTGCCACCGGTTATTTAAGCATTGAAAAAAAGAAGCCTTTTCATTTAAGCAGATAACATATAAATGCAGTTAGTTACAAATTACAAATCTGAGAGCTATGAGTGGAAAAGCAAAAAACAAATTTAAAACGAAACAAAAATACGTGCCAGAAACCACTTTAAGTATTACCTGAGGGTGTCCTAAGTGACGAATCTGAATCTGACTTGTCATTTTACCAGGATAGCCAGTAGTTGCAAACAATTCTTCACTAATTCCAGACCACCTAGAATCAAAGTACAAAAATGACAGTATCCAACAGCCAACTACAAATGTTTCTGGAAAAGGTCATTTCTTTCAGCCACAAAAGCAGCAATTTTATAATCTTGTTAATATGGCTTTAACTTTAAACTAGGAATTCTAACTTGGAGTCAATTTTCATATTCTGTAACTGTTTTTTGAGTGCTTGTTATAAGTCACTGAATCAAGTTGTAGCTATGCAAGGTTAACAGAGTTCCTTTTTTTGTTTTTTATAACCAACTAGCTAACCCAAGGCATCAGTCAGATACAAAACATTCAACAGTGCAATACATTTAATGGTTACTGACATTTGTAAAAACTCAGTGATGGGATGGTTTAAACATCTACAATATTTAAGCTTCCAAGTATCTTAGACACAGCAGTTCACTAAATCAGTGATATTGGAGCTGTGATAAAGAAACTGACATTGTAAGGCAGTGAAAAAAATGTAATAGCCATTTTGCTATTTTGTTATGTAAATTGCCAACTTCATTCTAGCAGGGCTTGTCCTCCCCTGGGGGATGAAACACAATTGGCTTAAGGCAATTCCCAATGAGTAAGAGATCTTCCTTATTCTCCTCTGACCTAAGACAATGTGACATAAGGCTAAGATGCTTGGAACTCTAGCAGGACAAAAAAGGTCTGAGGTCTGAAGCAACCAAAGATCTGCTAAAGCAGTCCTGAGACTGTCTGTGTCCTCTGTACAATGGTACTTCTTGTGTATCACTGTTTATTGACTTAAAAATGTATGCTTGTACCAAGTACCAGTAGCTCACACCTGTTACCTTGGCTATTCAGGAGACAGACCTAGAGGATTCCAGTTCAAAGGCAGCCTGTGGAGAAGAGTCTGTGAGACTCCATTTCCAACTAACCAGCAAAATGCTGAGCTGGAGGTGTGGCAAATGGAAGAGTTATATCTTGTTACTGGCAACAGAACAAACAAAACAACTCCCATAAGGTTTATATGTAAATATGGGTGCATGTGCATTCATTATCATTGTGAGCACAGAACAACTGTTGAGGTAAAACTGGTGGAATGGCAACCTTTTTTGTGTGAGCTACACATTTTTCTAAAGAAAATATTTGGAAAACAAATCCACAACTTGTCTAGACCAAAAGACAAAACTAAAGCAAAATAACCACTTAGAAGAAAATCAGAACGAAGTAGAGAAAACAAAAAAAACTCAAGTGCAAAGAAGAGAACTAGGAAAGTACTTTGGTGGTGTAACAGCACAAAATTAAAAAAAAAAATCAAATGACAACTCTCCCAATAATAGAACATTATTACCTGAATAAGTAGGCTCGGTCCATGTGAGCAGGTCTTGTCTCTTGAGGATAACTAAAAAATAAGATTTGACATTTTGTGAACTATGTTAGACTCAGGCAGAAAGTTACAATTTTAAAGGTATTTTCTTTTTAAAGAGCCAATGTACTTAGCATGTAACAAAATTCCAAGTGAGCTAAATTAAAATAGATGAAAAATGGTAAAGACATGACTTACAACCACTACAGAGCACTGTAATTCAACAGAGTCAGGGTTTTTCTTCTTTTCTAACATAAACAAACATCATTCAGATCAAAGATGAGCTTGTCCTGCATTGTCCTTTCTGGGTTACTCCCAAAGTAAATCCACAAGCATGATTATGTTATTAACAACCCCACAGTTCCAGTCTTCTACAGCAGAGTTGTTTGTATTCAACATGGAGATTGCAAGAGGGCCCAATGCATCATGTAGCAGTTTCTGGCTTTTTTGGTAAACAATGGACAGATAAGCTAATAAATACCTGGACTGAGTGATGTCCCAAATTAACCAATCATTTCCTGCAACAGCACCAACTTTGAAGGTGTTTTTTAAGCACCAATGTGCTGACATTAATGGCGCTTGTTCTGATTCAAGAGACAAAATAGCCTGTTGGGCTGAAAGATCATAAAACCGGATTGTTCCATTCTTCTCGGCCACCATCAGCTGTTCAAAGAAAAATAAAAGGCAATGCTGTTATCTCAACAGTTAAATCTGAGAAGCCAAGATGCAGTATTATACAGTAAGATGTAAGCAAATACATACAGTACACATGAAATTCAAGTGCATAGGGATTAAGACACACACACACACACACACACACACACACACACAGAGAGAGAGAGAGAGAGAGAGAGAGAGAGAGAGAGAGAGAGAAAACTCCAGAAAGTTAGGTAGAAAAAGTATGACAACTTTACAGGGCCATATGAGCAGGGTGCCTATGGATCTGGCAAGAACTCTAGAGAACAGCCGCAGGCTAATTTTAAGAAAGATGAATGTGGTGACTTCTCAGATTCTACAGATACAATAAGTATAGTGGGACTAAGAGAAGAAACTGGAAAATGAGAGAATGTCTGCCTAATGGCTCCTGTTTCCTGAGTGAAATTAGAGTGAAGGCCAATTGATGATAAGAACTTGTATCTTTTAATATTTTAGGATGCTCTACTCAGGATAAAATTGAATACCACTAAAGCTAGGATGATTTGACTTATGCCACTGATTCTTTTTGTCTATTTGTTGTGGCTCACACACATGGATATAACTTTAAAAAAACCACTGCTATATACTCCTAACTAGATCATCTGACCATTAGTTTTTAGACTGCAAACTTCTAAAGGTCAGGAAATAATAATAAATGCTACTTATGGGTAATAGCTATCAAATGCAAAATATCATAATTTTAAAGAAACTTTTTTTTAGACAAGTGTTCCAACATTTGAAGTATACTTCTAGACCTTTGGCTTTTACTTTTTCAGATGGGTCCTGGGCTAATTTGTCCTGGGCTGGTACTGAACTACCGTTTTCATACCTGGGCCTCTATAGTAGTTGGGACAAGTACATGCCCTCAGGCCAATCTATTTATAGGATACGGTCTTGCTTTTTCCTAGGGTGGCCTTACATCCTTCTGTGTCCTATTCCTGAGAAGCTGTGATTATAGGTGTGAGCCACAATGCCTTCCTTGGCCTTGAGAAACTTTATATAAACATACAGACCTCCTTTTGGGCACCCATGACTCACTCCCCTTTAATCCTAACTACTCAGGAGGCTGAGACTGTGGTTTTGTTTTGTCAGTCATGGGGCTTGAACTCTGGGTCTGGGTGCTGTCCTTTAGCTCATCAGCTCAAGGCTAGCGCTTTACCACTTGAGCCACAGTGCTACTTCCTGTTTTCTGGTAGTTTGTTGGAGATAAGAGTCTCACGGACTTTCCTGTCCGGGCTGGCTTTGAACCGTGATCCTCAGATCTCAGCCTTCTGAGTAGCTAGGATTACAGGCATGAACCACTTATGTATGCCTGGCTGAAATTTTGGTTTGAAGCCAGGATGGGCAAGCAAGTGAGACTCTTCTCTGCAATTAAACCCACACACAGACACAGACACAGATACACACAGACACAGACACACAGCCAGAAGTGGAGCTGTAGCTCAAGTGGTAGCACTAGCCTTCAACAAAAAAACCTCAGCGGGACAGTGCCCAGGACAGGAACAAAAACAATAAAAGAAAGTATAGACTTCTCGACTAGCCCAAATGAATTTATACCATGAGTCTGAGGTACAAAAAGTCATTGACTTTTCTTGTATATGGGTGGCAGAATTTTCTTTATATGCCTTCTCAGGTGATGAAAGGAAGCTAAAATGTACATAATAACCTTAAAAGTTTCCTCAGGATGCCAGCATACACTCATTCCAGGAGAGTGAAGAACAAAATGGGCTGTCTGACTTCCATCTAAGCTCCAAATCCTAAAATAATGGGAATATAATGTTAAATATTCCTGATAAATCACTACTGAAAATGAAATCTTCACAAACCGATTCAAAGCTATTTCAATACCGATTATTAGGTAGATACTTGCATTTAATGAAAATTATAACACCACTATTAGAAAGTGTAAAAGCAGGATGTACACATCATGTTTTACCATAATCATGAAAAATGAGTTGCCTACATTTTTTAACTCATCTAATAATAACCGCATTCAATTATTTATGAACTCTGTGGGTAAAATCAAGTTTCTGGGTCACTTCAAGTTTCTGCATTCCTTTTTGAGTAGTGCTTTCAGTTAACATCATTTCTACCTGAGTGCTTAAACACAGGCACGCACATCAATCAGTTGTTCTTCCATTTTCAAAATAAAACATAAAAGGGTAATATGCAATGATGGGAATTGAAGGACACAACTGTTTTCCATATTGGCTATTCCTTTGCTTTTGGGTTTCAATCCTGGTGGCTACTTCCCGTCATATACAGGGTTTTTTTTTTTTTTTTTTTGTTCTTTGTTTTTGTTAGTTGTGGGGCCTGAACTCTGGGCCTGGGCGACGTCTCTCAGCAATTCAGCTCAAGGCTAGTGCTCTACCACTTGAGCCACAGTGCCACTTCTGGGTTTTTCTGCCTATGTGGTGCTGAGGAATTGAATCCAGGGCCTCATGCATGCAAGGCAAGAACTCTACCACTAAGCCACCTTCCCAGTCCCTACAGTTTTCTTATTTGGTTCACTTCTCCAGTTTTTTTCTTCCGTAAGTGGCCGAGCTTGCTAGCTGCCGGATTAGGGCAGGTTGAAGAAACAGTTACTTGTCTTCTCTGTCTTTCTTTAGTAGTTACATATCAATAGTAAAGAGACCCAGGTTACTAGCTGACACGGCTGTCCATCCCAACAGCTTTTCCATCCCCAGAGGTGGATTATTTTACTGACTTCACAATAAAAAGTATTGCAACAGCATACCTAAAAACTAACTGCATATGCTTCCAGTTTTGTCTTTTAGTAATTAATGATGAGTTAAAAATAAAAGATGACAACCAAGGGTATAGATATTTTTTTTAGGGAGTAGAGGAAAGGGAGAAAGTGGTCTGTTTCAAAAAAAAAAAAAACCACTAAGAAACCAGTTATATAATATAAAAAAATCATGGTTGTGTACTTTCATAACATCTTGAAGGGATTAAAAAAATCATATAAACTTGTAAGTTGTTGCTTCATTTTGACTTCTTGAAGTTGTAAACAAACTGAACAGAAAAGTTTATCATCACAGAGGTGAGAAACTGAGACCATACGATAGCAGAATTATTAACATCTCATTTAACTTACATAAACACTGGATTTTGGAAGAGTGGAAATTATGAGAAAATTTGTCACATTTAAAAATAAACCTCAAAATCAAACTTTCAACTGCCAAGAAATACCATATGGCTGTTTTCAAACAGATCATATGTAATGATTTCATCTTCAAAAAATTTAGAGTACTTTTCCTTTAACTAACATAATACAAGTACCACTAATATGACTTAGGAAATATTAGCACCACATTATCTCTAAGAAAAATTTCAATAAACAACTTAAAAATTTTCCATATGCTAAGTATTAGAGTTATAGAGGAGGGAAAGTAGTCCCTAAAATGTGTGTCAATAGATTTACAAAATAACCCTGGTAAGTGTTTATGCATGCTTCCTATTTCTATAATTCACTAATGTAGCCAACCAAAGACTCCCCAAAAGCAACTTAAATTATTCAATTTGGTAAGATATTTTATGGAACACTGGTATATATTTTATCTGCAAGAGTACATAAGAACAATGTGATGAATTCTATAGAGAGGGGTTAGCAGTACAAGCAGTACATGAGCAGTACAAGCTCATGTAAAATTGTAGGAACTGTCTTTATCATACTAATTTTTACCTTAAAATTTTTAAAAAAGTAGGTGAATGTGATTAACAGGCTCTAATACAATTAGAGTGCTTTTTAAATACATTGAATATTTAAGTCCCAGTCACTGGAGAGCATTATCAAATTGAACACAAACTGTAAATTGTATCTGATTAGCAAAGTTCTTGAACTTTGGAACAATTGATCTTGATTCAAAATGTTCTAAAAAAAATTAGGGGGAATTTTAGAAGGTAAACAGGAAACGTTATTTCCTGAATTATTCCACCAAACTATAATAATTTAAATTATCCTGATTTTACTTTGTGCCTGGAATTATTTAGGCATGGTTTGTGTGCTCCTAAATGTGGATTACCTCCCAAGGAATGCTGCCTTGGCTTACTTTCAGAAGGCTCTCAGTCCCCCTGTTTTTTTTTTTTTTTGCTTCCCACAAGGACTGTTTTTAAAATATGTAACATATTGGAAAGAGAAACACTCCACCTTAATCATGGATCTTAAAGATTCTGAAATATTCATAACAGCAGGATTTAGCTAGCATGTAGTAAACAGACGACATCTGATAAACATTGTTGTTCTTCTAGTAACATTTTTCAAAACAGTATACTACTGGCTTAGTGAACATCTTGAGTAATTTAATATTCCCTTATCCAGTTGCACTCCTAAAAAATAATATTTTTCTTTATATCCTGTGCTCCTATTCTTAGCTAAAACATGACATCTACAAATATATTTTAAACAGAAATGCCTTTATTATATTAGTCTTAAACGATGAATTCCCTGGTTTCTAGAAGTCAGTAGTTTTCCTTAGCCATAAATTTTTATCTAATATTCTACACTACTCCTAAAGACTGAGGAAGAGGAAAGGGAATTGCTCTGACAGCCTTTGTAGTTACAGAGTACTGAGACTTCTATTTCTTTTGTATCCCCCAAAGTACTAAATGTTGGCTATACTAAATGTGTTTAATAAATACTTGTTGATCTGCCTTGTTCTTACAGAATGGTACTGTTTCTAATATACAAGAACATCTGCTATTTGGCACTGACTGGGAAGGAGATGTTCTGAATTAGTGGGCTTTTAAAATAATAAGCTTAACCCATTGAATACTTAAAATACTACTTTAACTTTCTTTTGGAGGTAGGAGATAATACACCTTTTAAATGAATACTTTTTTTTTTTACTTCAAGTACTATAATTAATTTAATTTTCTTTTGATGCTTCTGCATAGTAACTACAAATATCAATGATTGTATTTTCTTGTGTATATACAAATACAATTATTATATAGAAAAGAACAGTGGTATTCATATCATACTGTATATGTGCACACACATATTTGGGTATATGTACCTGTTTGTGTGAGTCTGTACGTAGTGGAATATTACGAGGAATCATAAAGGAAATGCTGTTGACTGTGACCCCAACTAATTCCATTATTTATTTGGGTTTTCATTAATTAAACACATTTGCCAGATGCTGTGATGAATATATAATTGTATTCATCCCTTTGCCCATTCACTCACAGACTATCTACAAGGTTACTCTTTTTTTTTTGCTGGGCTTGGGGCTTGAACTCAAGGCATGGGCACTTTCCCTAAGCCTCTCTGTGCTCAAGGTTAGCACTCTACCACTTGAGCCACAGCACCACTTCTGGATTTTTTTTTCTCATAGTTTATTATAGATAAGAGTCTCATGGACTTTCCTGTACAGGCTGGCTTTGAACTGTGATCCTCAGATTTCAGCTTCCTGAGTAGCTAGGATTACAGGGTTGAGTCACCAGCACCAGGCTAAGGTTACTCTTTTAAATATTGTGGCAACATCCAAAGGCCTAAGGTAATAAAGCATGGCTAATTCTGCAATACCTTGTTAGTAAGTGCCAAAGCAATCTATTCCCAAGTAACTTTTCTCATCCTCTGAAAATGTCTGCTTCTCAGCAGCAATCAAACTATGTTACTTAGAAATAATAAATACTATTGAGTTCTCTGTGGCAGCTTGCATTTACTCTTATTCAACTGAAAAGACTGGGTTCATGGTCTAGGGAGGACTAAAGGTATCTTTATTTCATGGATTATGAACTAAAATTCATAGAGTTCATAAGCTTCGTAGATTAAGATAATGATGATCATTGTGAAGGCTAAAATGTGTTTGTGACTTTAGCAAAGTATAACTATGCCAAAGTATTCTCAATAAAGAAATATTTGGAGGAAACAAACAAACAAAAACAACTACATTCTTTATCAGCAAGTGACGACACAAACTGACAAGACTTATGAAACAGATAATTTAATGCAGAAATATTATACTTTAGTAGTTAAGAAACAATACTGCTCAGACTCCTCTGTAAAAGAGAAACTACATTATAAGGGTTTTGAGGATTAGATGAGTTAATTCATAGAAATTGCTCAGCATAGTACTTGGGTCATATACTGTGGCCCCAAACCATAAGTCAATGATTCTCAACTAGAGGTGGTTCTATCTAGATGGCAATTTGGTTGTCTTCATGTTAGGCTTTAAGAGGATGACAGGTAACAGAGTAGTGATTCTCCATAACTTTTGAATGTGAGAACACTTCTTTAACCTTGACATGCTACAGTTTGTCTTGCCATGTTATTTGATTAACATGTTATGTTGATTAACACTATTTTCTATTTTCTCCATCCTATTTAGTTTTGATTTCTTACTACTAACTGCTTTTATACTAACACTATAGTTTTGCTCAGGGCTGTGACACTGTAGAACTCCAGATGGCACTATTCACAATGTACTCTATGCCAACAATATTCCCGGAATTATCAGCTTGGCAAACTTGCCTCAGCCTTACACTTTCCAGTTATCTGACTTTTTTCTTTTTGATGTGTAATCTTATCCATTTAAAAGAGCATGATATAATCTGTTCTTATTTATCTCAAAATATTTTATAATTTCTCTTGTGATTTTTTTTCTTTGACTCATTGAATATTTAAGAGGTCAGTCTTTATTATCTATCAATTTGTACACAATTTCACCAACAGGTAGAAATGTATGGTTGGCATTATTTAAGAATAATGACAAAGCACATCCCCATGATGTAAATGGCTCTTTTGGACAAGATGCAGTTTCCATTTAACTGGTGTCTTTATATGTAACTTTTGATTTTGTCCTTTAACTTATAAAGATCATGGTACTGAAATGTATTACTTGTATAATCTGTTTCCTCAGAATTCTTTATTGTTGTGAAGGTATATGATACTACTCTGTTCTCTAGGTATTTCTTTTTTTTTTATGCTAAGTAAGAGGTTTGGCTCCAGTAGACAGAATTGTTGTTTACTACTTAGTGAACTAAGTGATGACTTCCCCAATTTAGCTCCCAACTATTGGTATATTAGCCCCCTAATCTCTGTGACTTAAAAAAGTTCTTATTGCTTGATATAATAAAAAATTGGCAATCCTCCAAATTTTTGAGGACATTAATAGAAAAAAAAATTCAGTCTACCATGAGAAAAAAGAGTGCTCCTAGATTTCTCTGACTGCTGTGCATTATTTACAGTTTGCTCCTAGGCTTGCAAAGATATTTGTTTCCTCCCTTAGTACCTTAGAAATAGTTGCTTATTCAAGTCTTAAGTTGCATTTGTTAATAATTAAGGCCCCAGAATTGTAATGTCTATAATCCTCATGTCTCTGACATAAAAAATTTAATACAATTTGAAAAAAGTCAGCTATAAAAGGATAAAAAATAGCTAGCAGCTTAATTTCCAAAGTGAAATGACACATACATTAAATTATGCTGAACAGCAGAGCACTGATTTTCTGCTCACAGTATTACTAAAGCAAATGAAACAACTGACACCTCCCTAACGATTGATTCACTCATTTCACTCCTGACTCCTCAGGTTATTTCCACCTCCTATTCTTGTTCTTCATCTTATTTTTCACTTGAGATATTTTCCAGCTTTAGGCACTATTACAATGTTAAAGTTACCTCATCTGTTCTAAATTGGGGGTGAAGGGAAAAGCATGGTACTGAAATGTATTCTATCTGCAGTAAATATTATAAAGAGTTTTGCATTTGTCAAAACACAATTTTCCATAGGTATCATCCCACCTGATGCCACAGTTTTTTAATTAACCAATATCATAGAGGATCTGTGAAATAACTTCATAATATGGAAATTAACCAACTGATCTTGCCCAGTATTGGAGAATTTGATCCAATATACATCTAAATTTATAAAAGCACACATCTCAAGTGAGAGGAAGAGAAATAATAAATCATCTAGGAAAGTTTCCATTAACTGGGATCAGAACTCACTTCACTCACTAGTTTTGAAGTTCATACTTAAAATTCAAATTAAGTATGCTTCTTTTACAACATTTTGTGGAGTTTTAAGTTATGGATCTCTAATTAGAAAAATAATTCTCATTAAGGTAAAATGAAAATTCAAAATTGTGGCTTTAATATAAGCAACGTACCTGCAGGTGTGATCATCACTCACACTTGCAATTTCTTGGCCACTTTTGGGATGAAACACCAGACTATTAATGAAATCTGAATGGCCCTCTAAAACCTGACAGAGGGGAGAAAAATCAATAAGGTTAATAATTTACAATATTTCTACCTAATATTTTTATTTGTCTACCTCCCAACTCACTGCATGCTCTGTTTTTGTCTAAATATTTTTAAAGTAATCTATTTTTAAAGCATGGTCATCCATCCACTTTTCCAAAAGGTTTATTTTGGAAAGAAGTTGATCATTCAAGTCACTGGTATTAGTTTAGTCTTTCTTTTCTAACATATATGTGTGTGTTTTCTTACAAAAACACCCATAATCTCATATTCACCTCCTTTGTCACTTACTAGATAAAGCTTAAATAAATATAAAATCTTCTTAGGGCACTCTAGACTTTATTGTGTATCTGCTTCTCTATACACTCACTACAACCTATAGATAATATAAAATTCACTTTCTTCTGTATTTATTCACTTGTTCAATGTGACTGCTAGCACTGGTGACAGCTGCAGATACAAAAGCAGTCACAATCAACATGACAATCATCTTCTAGCCATAGAAAGAACAAATGGAAAATTGTAAGGTGGAAAACTGTGTCAACAAAAAAATTTCATTTTGCTAAAATCTTCATAGTTTAAATCCTCAATTGACCTGTCAGTTATTTAAACATCTTTGTTTTTGTGTGTGTGTTGGTTGTAGGGCCTGAACTCTGGGCCTGGGCGCTGTCCTTCAGCTCTTCAGCTCAAGGCTGGCACTCTATCACTTCAGCCACAGTACCACTTCGGCTTTTTTCTGCTTATGTGGCGCTGAGAAATCGAACCCAGGACCTCATGCATGCAAGGCAAGCACTCTACCACTGAGACACCTTCCCAGCCCCTAAGCATTTTTTTGTGTATATGTGCTGGCTTGACCTCAGGGCCTTAATCTCTGATTTAATTTTCTTGCTCCTGGGTGATGCTCTACCACTTGAGACATATCTCCAGTCTAACATTTTGCTGGTTAACTGAAGATAGAGTCTCACAGACTTTTCTGCTCAAGTTGGCTTTCAACTGTGGTCTTCTAAGTTTGCTTCATGAGTAGCAAGGATTATAGGTGAAAGCTAATGGCACCTGCCAGATATTGAATCATCTTAATAGGTATCTTCTCCCACCCCTAATTCAAATTGGATCTCAGTTCTAAGGTTAATAAAGTGGTTTTGTATAATATCAGTTACTATGTAGACATGTATCACTGAAGCAATTATAAGAATTATATGTAGCATTAATACATTTGGTTATTCACAATATATCCTTAAATTAATCAATAGTGTAATACATTAAGATGATTATAATTAAATAGTGTAATACATTAAGATGATTATAATTAGCTTATACTATAATTTTTACTATTATCTAAATCACTAGAAAGGTTAATGTCATTCTTTGTACATTATTTACTACTCTTTAAAATATTCATATTTTAAATTTACTAGTAGGCAATATCATTCCTGTAAGTAATTTTAACCAATATTAATTACTACATTATAAAAAAGCACATGTAGAAATAATTATAGTAAGTACGATGTATTGTTCTCGTGTTTTATATGAGTTAGTCCAATCAATGCTGATAATCATACAAGGCAGAAGCTCTAATTATCCTCTTTCTTTCTTTCTTTATTCCTTTCTTTCTTTCTTTCCTTCTTTCTGGTTCTGGGGCTTGAACTCAAGGCCTGGGCATTATCTCTGAGTTTTGCTCAAGGTTAACACTCTACCACTTGAGCCACAGTTCCACTTCTGGCTTTTGTGATTAATTGGAGATAGAGTCTCACGATTTCCCTCCCTCCCTCCCTCCCTCCCTCCCTCCATTCCTTCCTTCCTTCCTCCCTCCCTCCTTCCATACTTCCTCCCTCCATCCCTCCTTCCTTCCTTCTTTCCTTCCTTCTTTTTTGGCCAGTCCTGGGGCTTGTAAACTCAGGGCCTTCACCTGAGCTTCTTTTCCTCAAAGCTAGTACTCTATCATCTGAGCCACAGTGGCACTTCTGGCTTTTTCTGTGTATGTGGTGCTCAGGAATCAAACCCAGGGCTTCATGCATGTGAGGCAAGCACTCTACCACTGAGCCTATTCCCAGCCTCATAGACTTTCTTGCCCAAGGTGGCTATTGACCTCAATCCTCAGATCTCAGACTCTTGAGTTGTTAGTTGTGAGCCATCAACACCTGGCAATTATCCTTATTTTTTAAATTGGAAAGAGAACAAAGGGATTGGATTACTTGACCAGTAAGATCATCATTAAAAAGAAGAGCTGGGCTTTAAATGCTGGGGGTCTAGCTCCTGTGTCTATACTATTACAGACTGTGTTTTGTTATTTTAAAAGTGGACTTTTGTTTTCCAGGTTTTTTTTTTTTTTTGGGTCCAGTCGTGGGGCCTGAACTCTGGGCCTGGGTGCTGTCCCTCAGCTCTTCAATTCAAGGCTAGCCCTCTAACCACTTGAGCCACAACGCCACTTCCGGCTTTTTTCTTTTTGCTTATGTGGTGCTGAGGAATCGAACCCAGGGCCTCATGCATGCAAGGCAAACACTCTACCACGGAGCCACATTCCCAGCCCCTTCCAGGTTTTTTGGTGGTACAATTAACATATTATATGTATGTAAAGAGTAAAAGGTGATGCTTTATTTGTGTTAGAACTGGGGCTTGACCTACTGGGCCTTGAAATTCTAGCTCACTGGCCAATGACAGGCATTCTACCAGCCTTGCATTTTGCTGGCTATATTTGCAGATGAAATCTCTCAGACTTTTGTGCCCTGCCTGGCTTCAAACTTCATTCTCCTTGTCTCAGCCTCCTGAGTAGCTAGGTTTACAAAATGAGCCACAGATGCCATGACACGATCATGGTGATGCTTCGACATACATATTTGAAGATAATTACTGCAATCAATCAAATTAATATATTTATCATTTCAACTTTTTCCTTTGTTACTTACCTTGTATACGTGTGTGTGTGTGTGTGTGTGTGTGTGAGAGAGAGAGAGAGAGAGAGAGAACTGTTTTAGCAAATTTCAAGTAGTTGATTATCTTGTTATAATTAATAATACATATTCATACCTTTTATGGGTTTCACTGTGACATTTCTGTTCATGATTATATCATATTTTGACATATTCATTTTCTTGATCTGTGAACTTTTTTTTGGGGGGGGTCTGGTCGTGGGGCCTGAACTCTGGGCCTGGGCACTGTCCCTCAGCTCTTCAGCTCAAGGCGAGCACTCTACCACTTGAGCCACAGCGCCACTTCTGGCTTTTTTCTTTTTGTTTATGTGGTGCTGAGGAATCGAACCCAGGGCCTCAAACACGCAAGGCATGCGCTGTACCACTGAGCCACCTTCCCAGCCCTGATCTGTGAACTTTATTGCATGTGTATGTGCAGGTCCTGGGTCTTGAATTCAGGCCCTGGGCACTGTCCTTCAGATTTTTCACTCAAGGCTACCACTCTACCACTTGAGCTATAACTCCCCTTCTAGCTTTTTGGTGGTTTGTTGGAAATAAGAATGTCATGGATTTGCCTGTGTGGGCTGGCTTTGATTCTCAGATCTCAGCCTCCTGAGTAGCTAGGAATAAAGGTGAGTCACTAGCTCCTGGTTTATTGTGAACTATTATTTCTCTAATTTGCTGTTCTTAATATTTTATTCAAAAATGATATAAGACTTCAGATCTTCAGTTATTACTAAGAAGGTAGTTATAGCATGTAATAAAGAAAATGAGATCCTAAACTATATACCTTAACTTAATGACTGCAAAGGTAATTTAAGTTGGAATATAATTAAATTAGCAAAAAGTGAGGCTGTATCTTAAAATACTGAAAAGATTTGTAAATTATACTTGTCAACATACCTTATATTCATTTTTATCTTGAAGATCTGAAGTAAATATTCTAATTTTCATATCAGCAGCTGAAGTACCAAATCTGGAAACAAACAAATAAACCTACTTGTAGCCTTTATAAGCAAATTTTCTCCCTACAATGTAGCTCTCCCTCAAAGTCAACAAAATGCTTTATTATAACTCATAATCATGTATTTGGGGGGTTGAGAAGGAAAACAGTATTTTAGCTGGGTTTTAAAAAACATACAAGCTATTAAAGTAATAGGTAAATAAAATATTTTATTTTAGAACACATAAAATTTTAGTATATTGCTCTACCTTTCTCTGAAAAAAAATTTTTTTTTGTTGGTCGTGGGGTCTGAACTCTGGGCCTGGGCGCTGTCCCTCAGCATTTCAGCTCAAGGCAAGCACTCTACCACTTGAGCCACAGTGCCACTTCTGGGTTTTTCTGCTTATGTGGTGCTGAGGAATCAAACCTAGGGCTTCATGCATGCATGCCAAGCACTCTACCACTAAGCCACCTTCCCAGCTCCTCTCTGAATTTTTTTTTTAACTTTAGAGGAATTTAACTTATCTTTCAGTAAAACCAGAAAACCTCAGAGCACTGAATGAGGTAAACAATTTACTCTCCTGCCACCGGAAAAAAAAGCAAGCAGAGATGAAAAGAATAGGAAGGAAGAGAAAGAAAAATTAACACAATCATATGCTAAAGATAAACCCCAAGGAAGGATTCTTTGTAAATGTAAGATAAAGTCAATAGGTCTGGGAAGGTGGCTCAGTGGCAGAGTGCTTGTCTTGCATGCGTGAGGCCCTGGGTTCAATTCCTCAGCACCACATAAGCAGAAAAAGCCGGAAGTGGTGCTATGGTTCAAGTAGTAGAGCATTAACCTTGAGCTGAAGAGCTGAGGGACAGTGCCCAGGCCCAGAGTTCAGGGTCCACGACTGACCAAAAAAAGAAAAAAAAAAGATGAAGTTGATGATGTTAAAGATTAAAAAGTTATACCTTTGCCATCTTGGTAGACACTATGTAGTCATGACAAAACTTCTATTTATTTTGAAGTACTCTGAAAGAACTATTAAGTTAAAAAAAAGTTCAGGGTGGTGAATATAGTCATAATATTCAATAGACATATGTGAAAATAGGACCAGAAAATTTGAGGGGAGAGGCTATGCTGGGAGAGATGGGAGATAAAAATGAAAGGGATGGCATTGATAAAGATGCACTGTATTCATAAACTGACACCTTGACTTGAAGCTCCTGTGTACATCTACTTAAGAGATATACATTTTTTTCAGAGCCCACAGTTTACATACTAGTTTAATAATAATTTTGTATATTTACACATAAAATGAGTTAGATACATAAATGGATTATATCTTTATTATAAAAACATATAATTTATTTGAAAATTTACTGTCAGGCTGATCTAAAAATAATCTCTAAACAACCCAAAACAATAAATTTCCACAAATTTGGTGAGTAGGAGATGGCAACACAATCATAAGCACTGGAAGTTGTGAGTGCAGTATTTATTAGCAGAATATTTAAGTAAGTACTAAAAAAACTGAATTTAAAACCAGTGGTCAAATCATTTTCAAAATATGCTAACGAATGCAAAGACTTAGAGGTGAAGGTTCAAGTGGTAGAGTCTCTGCCTAGCAAGTATGAGGATCTGAGTTTAAACGCTAGTCTCAACAAAAAAGAACATAAAGACTTGGTCTTGTTTAGGTCCAGACACGGTGAACATTTCTTTTTTAATATAAAAGGAAATGGCTGGGTGCCAGTGGCTCACACCTGTAATTCTAGCTATTCAGGAACCTGAGATTTGAGGATCACAGTTCAAAGTCAGCCCGGGCAAGAAAGTCTGTGAGACTCTTATCTCCAATTAACCACCAGAAAACTGGAAGTGGTGCTGTGGCTCAAGTGCTAGAGTGCTAGCCTTAAGCTGATGAGCTCAGGGACAGCACCCAGGACCAGAGTTCAAGACCCATGACTGACAAAAAATAAATAAAATAGGAAATGAACATCATACCAGCTGTTTGCAAGGGTATATGTATGTTAACAATAGCCAACCCGCTTTCACTATATTTGATGTCAGTATAACTTGTGGAGGAGATGGGGAAAAACAAGTCGTTTAAGGATTCAGGTGGACCTGTTGCAACAATGAGAAGTACAAGTTGTCATGTCAAAAATGAGCTTTACAATGTCGGTGGGGGGAGGAGGGGGGAGGCTGGGAAGGGATGTGAAGGGTAAACAAAGGAGGAGGCTGCAATGCTTGGTAAGAAATGTATGCATTATCCTGCCCATGTAATTGTAACCCCTCTGTACAGTATGTTCACAAATAAAATAAAATTAAATTAAAAAAAAACAACAGCCAAATAATTCATAATTAAAGCTATTAAATATTAAGTTAGCTAAAACCTGAAAAAACTTCTAAGAACAAAAAAGAGTATTTTCAAACTTTGCTATAGGTAGACATTTCTATAAAAACAAAAAGTCCTCACAATTACTGATGATTGAAATGTCAGTGTGTTATCAATTAGAATGGTACTCTGTTTCTCAAAGAACCCAGTTAAGACTCAGAAACTATGTTCCAGACACAAAATGTAAGTTTTTGAGGCTTCAATCTATATTGATTTCTATAATAGGAAAACTAATTTCTGGTCATAGATATTAGATTAGTGATTGATTTGGTAGTGAGTGTGTCTTAGGGATGAACAAGGATGGAATATGAAGTTTTCTGGGATGACAAGGCTACATTAATAGGTATAAATTATAAAAGTATTTAAATTTGTGGAAACCTAACTGTTCAGTTAAGAAAAGAGAATTTTATTGTATTAAAATTGTCTCTTAGGGAAATAAGAATGGCCAATAGATACATGAAGAAATGGTCAACCTCTCTAGCCATAAAAGAAATGCAAATCAAAACAACATTGAGATACCACCTGCCCCAGTTAGAATGGCTATAATCAAGAAATCTAATAACAACAGATGCTGGAGGGGATGTGACCAGAAGGGAACCCTACTGCATTGCTGGTGGAAGTGTAAACTTGTTCAACCACTTTGGAAAGTAGTATGGAGGTTCCTCAAAAGACTCCATATAGAGATCCTCTATGACCCAGCAATCCCACTTTTGGGCATTTACCCGAATGATCACAAACAAGACCATACTAAAGCTACCAAAACAACTATGTTTATTGCAGCATTATTTACCATAGCTAAGATATGGAGCTAGGGGGTGCAGGGGGGGGGGAAGATGCGAAGGGATGGGAAGGGGAAACAAAGGAGGAGGCTACAATGCTTGATAAGAAATGTACTCATTATCTTGCCCATGTAATTGTAACCCCTCTGTACAGTATTTGCACAATAATAAAAAAAAAAGATATGGAACCAACCCACATGCCCCTCAGTAGATGAACAGATCAAGAAAATGTTGTATATATACACAATAGAATTCTATGCCTCCATCAGAAAGAACGTCGCCCCATTTGTAAGGAAATGGAAAGACTTGGAAAAAATTATATTAAGTGAAGCCAGGCCCAAAGAAACATAGATTCCATGGTTTCCCTTATTTGCACTAACTAGTATATGTCTGAGACAAGCAGAAAAGGTCAGATAAGATGATGTTAAGCGAAATGAACCCCAAGATAAGGCCACAAGTGTTTTTTTCTTTCTTGCTATTGTTTCTAACATATTTATAAGGCCACGTGATTTTTTTTTTGTTGCTTTGTATGTCCCTCCCCCATGGTATAACCCCTGTTTTCACTGTATTTGCTGTTGGTATAATTTGGGGAGTGGAAGGGAAAAAACAAATTGTTTAAATAGGGATACAGGTTGACCCACTGCAACAATGAGATGTACAAGATGCTATGTCCTATGTAGTGGGGGGAGTGTAGTTGTGGAGATGGGAGGGAAGGGATGGAAGGGGAAAAACAAAGGAGGAGGCAACAATGCTTGATAAGAAATGTACTCATTACCTTGCTCATGTAATTATAACCCCTCTGTACAGTCTTTTCACAATAAAAAAACATTTTTTTAAAAAGTTGTCTCTTAGTTAAACAGCTTTGCAGTGTTTTTTTTAATTGTTGTTTTTGTTTTTGCTGGTCCTGGGGCTTGAACTCATGGCCTGGGTGCTATCCCTGAGCCTCTTTGTACTCAAGGCTACTGCTCTACTACTTGGGCCACAGCACGACTTCTGGCTTTTTCTGAGTAGTTTATTGGCAATAAGTCTCAGACTTTCCTGCCTGGGCTGGCTTTGAACCATGATCCTCAGATCTCAGACTCCTCAGTAGTTAGGTTTACAGTGGTGTGAGCCATCAGCTTTCTAGTTTGGGCCAGACACAGTCAAGGCATAACTGCTATGGTTACATATGTAAGTCACAAAGATGATAATGCTAAATCAGTAAACAATAGTAAATGTAAAAAATCTAAGCATGAAGGAAAAAAGTTCCTATAATTAGACTTGGGATTACTTAACAGACATTAATAAATATTGCACTTGAAACTTTTAAACTTACCTGATTACTGGAGGCAATGAATCGAGTCTTGTCTCTGGACTCCATGCTATGCAATCAACTCTGACTCCATGGTGAAATGTTCGTAATGTTTTATACTGAATTCCTTCAATGTCTGCTTCTTCCTCCTAAGCACACATTAGTACATGTTAGGACAAACAATATAATAGTCCAAATTTCATTATAATGAAGTTCCTGATAAATTTATCAGGAAGTCACATATATGCATTTGAACCATTTAAAGGTAAATAGATGGTGAGACTGAACTATTTTATCTCCAGGGTTTAGAATAAAGCTCAGCTTGCCTAAGAGGCCATGCTTTGGTCCCTTGCAATATAGGAAAAATAAAAATCAACTCCTACTCTTAAATACCCACAAAGTTGTGTAAGTCTTACCATATAAACCTCTAAGACAACCCAAACTGAATGGTAAACATGCTATTATTCTAGATAATATTTTACTTCTAACAGTAAACACATCTCATAAAAAAAGCTAAGAATGAGGTATTTGTTATATAAGTAGTAAAAGTAAATAAAACAACTTTTTTGGTCTGTTGTGGGGCTTGAACTCTGGGCCTGGGCCCTGTCCCTCAGCTCTTCATCTCAAGGCTACTGCTCTACCACTTGAGCCATAGCACCACTTCCAGTTTTCTGGTGGTTGATTGGAGGTAAGAGTCTCACAGACCTCCCTGCCCAGGCTGGCTTTGAACTGTGCCTCAGCTATCAGGCTCCTGAGTAGCTGGGATTACAGGCATGCGCCACAGGTGCCCGGTAAAAAATAAATGACTTATATAGGCATTATCAGCTGACAACATAATAATATACACTAAGTAAAGTCTTGATTATGTGGAAAGTACTTGGGGGAAGTTCTGCCACAATGAGTTCCAGGCAGCATTTGCATATTGCATTATATATGTGTAAGATGTTATGAGTAATTCATCTGTGCTGTACAATCCATGAAATGAATATTCAAATCACTAAGTTAACGATTTGATTGTGAGGGCTATAAATGTCTTAAAGTCATCTTTTCACCAAATTCTATTTTATTAAAACACATTCAAGTGTATACAGTTGGAAAAATGAGGAAAAGTTGAATTTTAAAACAAGCCATCTATCTCTGGCAATGTGAACAATAACCTGAGATGTTCTCCCACTATAAAGATGGGAAAATAAAATTTATTTCAAAGTGGCCATATGTACATAGTAGTCCCAAGCACCTTATAGAAACATAGACATTTCTCTTTGGATGTACAATGTCTACTCATTCTACACAGTGTAACAAAACATCATATTGTACCCTAAAACAATATGCATTTATTTGCCAGGTGCCAGTGGCTCATGCCTGTAATCCTAGCTACTCAGGAGGCTGAGATCTGAGGATTGTAGCTCAAAGCCAGCCCAGGGAGGAACGGCTGTGAAACTCTTATCTAATAAACCATCAGAAACCGGAAGTGGTGCTGTGGCTCAAGTGGTAGTGCTCTAACTTTGAGCTGAAGGACAGAGCTCAGGCCCAGAGTTGAAGCCTCATGACCAACAAAAACAACAAAAAACACAAAAAAATGCAATTATTTCAGTAAAACACTAGCAAGTTAATAAATAAAGTGAATAGTTGCTAAAGAAATCCCTCAAAAGACGAAGATATCATATTTGAAATAAAAAAATCTTAGATGCAGCTAGATTTATAAAAAAAAGATTAAAATTCAACAAAAAATATGATGTAAAGAAAGGTTCTACTATTTGAAGGAGTGAACAGAGGGAAAGAAGAAGTGTCAGTATTTGAAGAGACAGTGCAAAAGATTCTCCATATTATATGGAATGCACCAGTAGCCACATTTAGAAAGGACAATAAATCCTCCAGAGCCAAGATAAAAACAAAATCTGCAGCTAGAAGCAATATGGTAATTCTTCAGAAAACACACATACAAATATATGGAAATATCAATTTTAGCAGTGAAAGCTAGAAAGTCTTTTCAAAAGAGATTTTCTACCAGTAATAATTACAAAAATCAGTAACTGACACCTCAGCAGAAACAGCAAACAACAGGAGGAACTAATATCTTTAAAATGCTGAAAGTAACTAGAATTGTGGACACAACAAATCTGATTTCTCAAGAATAAGGTTGTATTAAAAATGTTTTCAGAAAAACAAAAGCCAAGACATTATACATTAATAAAGTTTCACTAAATGATTCTTTAGATCCCTTGTTATCAAGGGCTGGCAAACTATGGCTCAAGGATCCTATGGTTTGCTTTATATATAGTTCATGATCTAATAATCTTTTCTACATTTTTAAGTGGTTGTTAAAAAAAAAGAGTAATATGTAACAGAGACCTTAAGTGCTTGGCAAAGTCTAAAATATTTATGATATGAGCCATGTGCTGGTGGCTCATGTTTTTAATCATAGCTACTCAAAAGGCTGAGATCTGAGGATAGTAGTTCAAAGCCAGTTCAGGCAGGACAGTTTGTGAGACTCTTACTGACAATTAATCATGAGAAAACTGGAATTGGTACTGTGGCTCAAAGTGGTAGAAATCTAGCCTTGAGCACAAAAGCTCAGGGACAGGGCTGAGAATGTGGCTTAGTGGTAGAGTGCTTGCCTAGCATGCATGAAGCCCTGGGTTCAATTCCTCAGTACCATACAGACAGAAATATCCAGAAGTGGCACTGTGGCTCAAGTGGTAGGGTAAAAAGAAGCTCAGGGACAGTAGCCAGGCCTTGAGTTCAAGCCCCAGGACTGGCAAAGAAAAAATAAATAAAAAAGCTCAAGGTCAGGCCCCAGGCCCTGAGTTCAAGCCTGACAACAGACAAAAAAAGTCTTTAGTAACACTAAAAAGAGAAATCAAATATAAAACTTTATCAAGGAAGAAAAACCCTAAAGGATGAGGTATGAGAACATGGCAAGAATATGTATATTGACGATGGTTTCCATGTTAGAAAACGAAAAATATCTATAATACCCAACAATATTGGAGTGGATAAGTTGTGGCATGGTCATATATGACATAGTGGCAGGAATAAATGAAATTTAACATCAAGGAATCTCACAAATATAATGTTAAGCAATAGTAATAGAGTATAGAAGAACAAAATACAGAATACCATCAGTATAAAGTTTAAAACATAAAACAAAACTTATTAGGGGGGTGGGGGGAGGATGGGAAGGGATGGGAAGGGGAAACAAAGGAGGCTACAATGCTTGATAAGAAATGTACTCATTATCTTGCCCATGTAATTGTAACCCCTCTGTACAGTATTTTCACAATTAAAAAAAAACAAAAAAAACCCAAAACATATTAGTTTAGTGCACCTATACAGGGGCAACATTATAAAGAAAAACAGGAATCATAAACGTAAACTACATAGGGATGTTGTTCAGTATAGAGCACTTCTCTTGCATGCACAAAGACCTGCGTTTGATCTCTAGCACCAAAAGAAAACAAAAAACTTCTCTGACATCAACACAAAATTTCTGACATAGATTCTTCTTGGGGATGAGAAAGGAAGTCAGTAAGGCGAGTATATACAAGAGTTTTCCAAAGATCTACATGTGTTCCACATTTCTTAGGCTAGACACTGATGAATACAGAGTATACGGGAGTCTGTTCTTTATTACTTTTCTTTCTGCCTTATATAGATAACATTATTGTTACTATTATTATTTTGCTGATATTTAGGTTTGAACTCAGGGCCTCATGCTTGCTCAGCTTGCTTGGCTGAAACCCTACCACTTGAACCATGCCTCTAGCTGGTTATTTTAGAGATGGAGTCCTCAGACTTTTCTGCCTGAACTGGCTTTGAACTTCAATCCTCAGATCTTAGTTTCCTAAGTAGCTAGGATTACAGAGGTGAACCACAGATGCCAGGCTAAAATGCATATTTATAAGTACTAAATATTAAAATTAAAAATAAAAATATAATTTTTGTTATTTAAATTGATTTTTGAATTGGGTCTAAAGATTAGAGCAAAAATGTTCATAACAACTTTGCCCAAGGAATTTTCCCTATTAGAAAACTGTTTTATCTTTTATAAGAGGTATGGTATTATAAAATTTTCAAGGAAATGGAGGGACAAAAAACAGATGCAGCAATGGTACTCACTAGACAGACACCATGTTGAAAATACACTATACAACTTGTGGGTGGGAACAGGAGGGAAAAACTGGAAGAGAGTGACAGAAGAGGTGACATTGTCCAAAAAGAAGTGTACTTACAGGGGAGTGGGGGAGTGTAGTTGAGGGTGGGAGGGAAGGGATGGAAGGAGAAAAAGAGGAGGCAAGAATGCTTGATAAGAAATGTACTCATTACCTCGCTCATGTAACTGTAACCCCTCTGTACAGTATTGTCACCATAAAAAACTTATTAAAAGAAAAAAAAAGAAGTGTACTTATTACTTGACTTATATAACTGTAACCCCTCTATACATCACTTTTATAATAACAGTAAAAAAAACTTCCAAGAAAAAAATACAAAGCAGGTGAAAGTTGATATATAGTAGAATATCTATATATCTATGTTGACAGGTTTACCTGAAGGATTGTTCTAAGAATTTACCCTTAATGTAAATGCAGTGTTACATAATATGTACTCTCATAAAATCCAGTACATATCTTGATTTTTCTTTTCTTTTCTGTTGGTAATGGGGCTTGAACTCTGGACCTGGGCATTGTCCCTGAGCTCTTCAGCATAAGGCTAGTGCTCTACCACTTGGAGCCACAGTGCACTTCCGGTTTTCTGGTGGTTAATTGGAGATAAGAGTCTCACAACTTTTCTGCCTGGGCTTTGAACAAGGATCCTCAAATCTCAGCCTCCTGAATAGCTAGGATTACAGGTGTGAGCCACCATCACCCATCATGCCTTGATTGTTTTCTAAAACAGACCCTGAAATCCTAACAAGTTGTTTTACAAATATTCCACACATCTTTCTCCATTAATTCAGAAACATTTTGAGAGTAACTTGTGCAGGTGAAAAAAATATTGCTACATTTTATTATTTCCTAATTTTTGTTTTTAACAGCTGTACACATAACACCCAGATACGCCAAGACAGCAATAACTAAAGAATTTTAAAAATAAGTTTTTGCATAGTAATTTAATAGTCTGGGTAACATCTACTTTTTCTACACTTGACAAATCAAATCTTCTAAAGAGTTTTTACATAAAAATAAAAATTATTTTTTTATTCAAACTAAAGTGGTAAAAATTAGGCCCTATATTCTTTTACCCAAATTATATGAAGATTATTGGATGGTCATAGGCATAACAGGTACTACATAGTTTGAGTTTTTATGTATTAGTGTGAAACCTTTTTTTCCTGGCACCAATATCTGCTATTGAGCCAACAAAAAGAGCAGACTGTATGTGTGGTATAGGCAGAGATGAATGCTATTTTGGGTTCAATTTGGGGTGTAGGTAGTACTGTATAGACAGGAAATTAAGAGATTTCGGAAAATTTGTCGTAATAGGAATGATTCTACAAAGCTCCAACAATCTGACGTTGGGGCACAGTCAGGGTGGTAGAAGTGCTATTCATAGGTTTTTAAGTGGTAGGTCTTCTACCACACTCCTTTAAGGCCAAATACAGAACTTCAGTTAGACAAAACTGGAGTTTATCTAGTCTAGTCTGACTCTTCTATCTAATACTTTCACTAATAGCAGAACAATCTGCAAAAACCATTTCTGAATGCCTTCACTTGGGAAACAGTGTTAAAAGAGTGTGTAACATTAACCCAAAGACTGGTTCCATGTAAATTCTACTCATTTGCTCTGGAACTCTGTCTCTGGAACCATACAGAGTAAGTTTGATTCAATAAGGTCAAATATCTGTCCATAACTGATCTGTACTAGGTGAACACACACAAAGAAGCAGATTTAGTACCTGTCTTACAGCACTACAAGCAGCAATTGCAAATAGTGATACAAGTAACAAAGTCCATGGACAATTCTAAGAACCTGTCTCACATAACACTTTAAAACATTTTAATACTACTCTAAAATTCATTTTCAAATATATTATTTCCTCTGGAAAGAGAGTGTTGATTTATATGGGAGCTCCTAGTAACATGAGGCCTTAGATATTTGCCTTGTTTTTTTTTTTTTCTTGTCCTTTATAGTTAAACCTAATTTGTTGATCTTCTCTCATACATGGTCTAGTTGTCTGTGGGAAAATTTGACATGGACTTACATAGAAGAATGTTATTTTGATGAATATTTGTAAGTCTAGACTATCACAACTGCCTGTATTAACAAAAGCTACAACAAAACAAATCCATATAGATTATAATGTGTCACATGTCTCCTAGGAATATTACAAATACTAACTTACATTCCCACAAAACTGTATTGAGCATTATTTTCCTCATATTTAGAAAAGATATTAAACTGTATGGTTAAGAGGTGCATTTAGAACTGTAGACATTTTGGCTCCAGAATTCATGCTCTCACATGCTGGACTGTCTGCTCTGTTAATATGACCCCAACATTTCGGATATTCTAAACATGAGCTTTAGATGAAAAAAAAAATTGAAAGTAGATTAATAGGAAAGATAAATATGAGACCTGCAATTTTCCTTGGAGATCATTTTTAGTCTCACACTATTTTTTTCCACATATACCAGTGTGCAATTACTCATTGGTTTTAATGACTAGAATATTCTATTACAAATCACAAGGCAAAAGAGAAGCTTCAGGCTCTTCTTTTCCACTATCTATGAAAAATTTGCACAAATCACAATCATATATTAATGGTAATGTCTCTGTTCATTTCTTTTTTTAAACACAAACTCAATCCAAATATATTTTAGGTTTGTATAGATTTTTCTTAATCAGTGAATTATCTTCATTGCTATTAAGTGGTAGTTTGTAGACTAACCTGGAATGTACACATGCCAACAGCCACATAATTATTGCCACCATATGCAATTAAACTTCCCGAATCACCACTCTCAAAGGGATTAAATTCTACCACATGCACATAATCTTCACAATCCACAGTGTAGGTAGCAGTATTTCTTGCAGCATCTTGCTTCATCTTGTATGTCAAAACTTCAGCAGTTGAATGAATAAAATGCCTTTTGGATAATGTGACAAAACTGTGGATTACAGCACAAATACAATTACAATGGTCAGTGATAGTAATTTTTATTTTTTTGCCAATCCTGGGGCTTGAACTCAGGGCTTGGTACTGCCCCTGAGCTTCTTTTGCTCAAAGCTAGCAGCATTCTACCACTTGAGCCACAGAGCCACTTCTGGATTTTACTGTTTATGTGGGACTAAGGAATCGAAGCCACGGCTTCATGCATGCTAGGCAAGCACTCTACCACTAAGCCACATTCCCAGGTCAGTGATAGCAATTTTTAAAAAATGAATCAAAACATGGTTGGGAATTGGCAATGTCACATACAGTTCAACAGAAAGTAAAAGGATTTATCAAATGACAGAGGCTTCAAGAAAACAAAAATTAATCTAATTATGAACAGTTTAGCACCTGCTCCACAGCTTTCCCCTTTTCCACATTTGTGACAGCCACAATTGTAACACTGTAAAATTCTGTTTAAAATATATAGCACTTGAAAATGTAGCTATTTTAACAGAAAATATACTCACATAAAAATTTAACAATATTTACAGAGCATTATTTGTAAATGGCATATTTGCCATTTTACTGACATTATCACATTGAATATTTGCACAAATGCGGTACTACTGATAGCACTTAAATATAACAGTAAAGATTTTAAGGTTTTAAGAATTTGTCAAACTTACAAGCAGGATCAGGATCGGAAAATTTGTATGTTGGGCAACGGCGCTACAGAAAAATAAAGCCTTTATCTAGGGATAGTTATGACTCAGGATGAGAAATGGGAGTGCCAACATGTGTGACAGAAAGTTAGTCATGGAAATGGCGCTGTAGCTCAAGTGGTAGAGCGCTCGCCATGAGCTGAAGAGCTGATGGACAGCGCTCAGGCCCAGAGTTCAAGCCCCACGACCGACCAAAAAAAAAAAAAAAAAAGGGTTATTCATAAAACCAGGCACTAGGGGCTGGCAATGTGGCTTAGTGGGTAGAATGCTTGCCTAGCAAGCGTGAAGCCGTAGGCTCGATTCCCCAGTACCACAAAAACAGAAAAAGCCGAGAGTGGCGCTGTGGCTCAAGTGGTAGAGTGCTAGCCTTGAGCAAAAAAGAAGCTCAAGGATAGTGCCCAGGCCCTGAGTTCACTAGCCAGGAGGCACCAACACACAAGCAAAAATACCAGGCACGGATCTTCAGCTATCCCTTCAAGGCCATCTGTATACGCTGGAAGTTGTATTTCCGTAGAATTAAGAATCTGAGTTGTTTATTATTAACGATTTTACAATTACTAGACACAAGAGCTGGGCCAAGAATTGGGCTCAAGTACACACACATCACCATGTGGCCCCTGAGTGTCCACTGAGACTCCGAAGGGTCCCCTCTCGGGGGGAGCTAGTAACCTTCAGGTGGGCGCATCCCCGAGTGGACACGTGTCCAGCTGACCAGCAGGTGAGGCGGTCACCACTAGCGATTCGAGGTCGGACACTCGGGCGCCAGCCCCTCACCTCGTCTCCCTAACGCCTGGCGTTATTAACATCCACAAGGCCTCCTGGGCACGGAGGGCTGCCAGGAGCCTCGCCTCGAGCCGACAGCGTCCCTGGCCATCCCGCTCCCATCTCCCTGAGCCCGAGGTGAACGAGAAGGACGCCCCGAGATAAATGCTGGGGCGCATGGCCCCCCGGGAGCAAAGCTGCCAGGCCCTGGGGCGGGGGTGTGTGTGTGTGTGGGGGTGTCCAGGTACAATACGCACCGCAGAAGGCCGGAAGTCACCACTGGGCTGTCAGTCTGGGCTGTGGGAAGCCGCGGCGCGCATCCCGGTTCTGCTTCCGGGTCGAAGGGCGAGCGCGGTGATTGGTTCCCGGGCCCTCCCGCGAGATTTGAAATGTAAACCGCGGCGACGGAGAGACGTGGGCCTTCCAGCCGCACGTCTGGAGTCTCCCTCAGCGGAGTTGGCTTCTCCCCGGGCGTCTTTGAGCCGGGTGAGTCCCGCCAGCCTCTTTCCAGCCTGCCTGCCTCACTGGGAGTGGCGACAAGAGGTAGCTTGTAAAGGTGTTTGGATGGGAGCAAAGTGTTATCTGCCTGCCTGGGTTGGTGGTTTGGTGGGAACTTAGTTATTGAGTCGGGCGTGGGCCTTGAACTCAGAGTCTGCGCGCTGGCCCCGAGCTTTTCTGCTCAATGCTAGTGTTCTGGCCACAGCCCCGCTTTCAACGTGGGAACTTTGGGCAGATTTCGTTGGTAGTGTCTGGTGCTGGAGCGGGAAGGTCTTGGCCGGTAGGCCGCCGATTGGTTGACGGAGGCCCCGCAAGAGCCTGTGTGAAAACCACTAAAAAATAGGCGTGAAACTAAGGTGCTGTTTTCACGACGTGTGCAGACTCCCATCCCGCAATTTCCCTTTCCTTATTTGATGTTATATCCTCATCCCAAGAAATATTTAGGACAAAAGTGGAATCCCCTGCTGCTTTTTAAAAAAGTTTTTCCCTTTATTTATTTTTATTTTTTTTGCCAGTCCTGGGGCTTGAACTCAGGGCCTGGGTGCGGTCCCTAAGGTTCTTTTGCTCAAGGCTAGTGCTCGACCACTTGAGCCACAGCGCCACTTCTGGATCTTTCTGTGTATGTGGTGCTGAGGAATCGAACCCAGGGCTTCATGCATGCTAGGCAAGCACTCTACCACTGACCACATTCCCAGTCCCCCTCCCCCCCACTCCCACTTTTTATTTTGTATTTACTGATTGCCTGGCAATATATATTTCTTTCACTAAGATTCTTGCAATTCTATTAGGAACATATCTTCCCTATTATACAGATGAAGAAATTTATGCCCATCAGAGAGATTTCATAACTTCTAATTAGTGAAGGGAAGGGTGCTGGCTGGGGAAAGTGTAGTTCTTAAACTTATCTCACATTTTCACCAAGTGACAATTTCCTGTCAACAATTCTTCTCTAGTGCATCTTGGAATCCAGTTTCTAAAAACAAGTGAGTATTACTGCTGTCACCTGTCGTGTTTTGTAGAGTGCCGCTGGCCATTCGGAGCTTGCATATTCTGTGTTTGACTTCTCACATCAGGCTGGAAGGTATGTAGAAAGGATGAGCAGTAGTTCTGTTTTTTATGTGATGATACTTCTACTTGGACAGCCAGGTATAAAGCCTATTTCCTAGGCTTATACTGAAGGAGGTATTGGCAGAAATGGGATTAGACTCCAGGTTGGAAACCAGTTGCATTGTCTGTTTGTGGGCAGCCAGCACCTTACCTAAGAATGTACTTTATATGTTTAAATAGCAGGGAATAGAATGAAGGAACCATATTTTGTGGCATACATGAAAATTACATGAAAAACCAATTTCAATATTTATTAATAAACTTTGCTAGAACACAACTATGATCATTTGTTTATGTATTATTCCTGGTTACTTTCATACAAAAAATTAAGTAGTTGTTCCATAGACTATATGCCTTATATGTCTCAAATACTTAGTACTTGTTAAACCTTTCGAAAAGGTCTGATAATTCCTAGATGAGACTCTTGGTTTTCTATCACAGATAGTAAAGATCCTTCAAATTTAATAACAAAAAACCCCCCAGCATCAACAAACTGATAATGCATGATAATAGCTAATGTGTTTTCTAAATGTATCAGGCACTTTTAAAAGCTTTCCTTATTTTTATGTAATTTACTCTTCACAGTGTTCTGTGAGATAGTAACCATTTCCATTTTCACTACAAGGAATCTGAGATAGAAGTGATATAAGTTGACCAAGATTTCATAGCTAGTAAGTGGTTAGAATAAAGATTCAGAATAATCTCTTCTAGGTGAATTTTAATTGATAGCAATGTAAACTCATTAATACCTTAAAATACTAACAATAGTCCATTGTTAAAAATTTATTTCAGGCAAACTGATCAGATTAGGAAGTTGGTGCTTCATTTGTGGTCTTCTACCTTTATGTTTACATTGTATCACAGATTATGTCTGTGACCCAAATCATTGTTTTGTTAATGGCATATGCCCTTTTTCTTCATTGTACAAAACTCAAATGCCTTGTAAACATCTAGAATTCTGTTTATGCTACATTAAGTAGAAGAAAGAAAGAACAAAAGGAATCAGTAAATGGAATGGAAATATATGGGCATGCTGGAAACAGGTAGTTGAAAGAAAAGAAAATAACTTGGCAGGTATGTTGGTAAATTCAGAAAGGAATTGGTTGCCTTGTTGAGGCTTGGGTGTATAAAATATTGGCACTACATCAGATTATTTGAAAAGACTTGCCTGTATCAGGAGAAGTTCTGAAGTATAGAGATTTAGAATCCCAACTTGGAGACTTATGTTTGCTTGGTCATTTGCTAACAGAATGACATGGGACATTACTTTCTTTAGATGCAAAATAAGAAGAATAGGGCCACTTCAGTAGGACACTTGTGAAATTTGAAAAGTATGGACACCAAGTAGCCCCTACATGTTAGCTGTTATATTTGGTATCAATGGCTATGTAACAAACTTCCTCAAAACCTAGTGGCTGTAATCCTAGCTACCCAGGAGACTGATATTCTGAGGATCGTAGTTTGAAGCCAGTTTGGGCAGGAAAATCTCTGAGACTTTTATCTCTAAAAAGCCATAAGTAGAGCTGTTGTTCAAGTGGTAGAGTGCTAGCCTTGAGGAGCAAAGTTCCGCTATAGCACCCAGACCCTGAGTTCATGTCCCAAGACTGATACCAAAAAACAAAACTCCCAAAAAGAAAACCAAAAAAAAAACCTTACTGGATGTAAAAATAACATTTATTTGTGTATGATTCTGTAGGTCAGCAATTCGGGTTAGACTAGGTCAGATGATTCTTTTCTGTTTTTCTTGCCTGTAATTTGTTCTTGTTGAAGTTATCTGGCAGGTAGACTAAGGGTACATAGTGTAAGGAAACCTCCTTCATTCACATGCCTGTGAATTGGTATTCATTGTCACCTGGTGTGCTGTGGTTCTCCTCCCATATCAGGCTACCTTGGACTTCGTACATCTAGCTCCAAGCAGCAAGAAAGTGAGAATTGAGGCTTCAAGGTTTTTTTTTTTTTTTTTTGTCGGTCGTGGGGCTTGAACTCTGGGCCTGGGCACTGTCCCTCAGCTCTTCAGCTCAAGGCGAACGCTCTACCACTTCAGCTACAGCGCCACTTCCGGTTTTCTGGTGGTTTATTGGAGATAGGAGTCTCAAGGTCTTTCCTGCCCGGGCTGGCTTTGAACCGAGATTCTCAGATCTCAGCCTCCTGAGTAGCTAGGATTACAGGCGTGAGCCACCAGTGCCCGGCTGAGGCTTCAAGGTTTTGTGTTGGGAAGTCCTCAAGATCACCTCCTAGGATGTGGAAAGAGAGCAATAGAATAGGTTAATCTGACTAATGTGTAATTGATGAATGTGTGAAATAATGATAGTGAAATCCCTTTGTGGAATTAACATAAGACTAACAAAAATCAACAATGCTGGGTACCAGTGAGAGAGACAGACAGAGAGAGAGAAAAGAGAGAGAGAGAGAGAGAAGAGAGAAGAGAGAGAGAAGAGAGAGAGAGAGAAGAGAGAGAGAGCACGCCAATGGAGAGAATGGACGGAATGTAAATATGGTTTAAATACTTTACATGAATATATGAAAACATAATGAATCCTGTTGACATTGTTTCAATTATGGGGGAGAAGAGGAATGAGGGAGGAATGATCAGAGGATATTTTATATATGTTTTGAAATACTGGAATGAGACCTCCAATAGTACCACCAATATATGCTAATAAAAACCAATGATTATATATTAAAATGACCAGTCCAAATAGGATGACTACAGGAGCATTCATAGTACTCAGCAAATAGTTATAGTTATGGCTATGGTTTATTATAGCAAAAAGATACATCAGTAAAGGGAAAAGGCATGTGGAGCAAAGTCAAGGGGGAATAGACACACTCTGGTCACATAGGTCATGTTTAATTTCTTCAGCAACAGGTTATGACAACCTAGGTGAAATGTCTGTCAAGGAAGTGTATTAGAAACTTGGTGCCAGGGTTTTTATTGGGGGGGCTAAATATACAGGTATGCCCAATGTGGTATGTACCAAAATTCCAGCATAGACTATATTATTTATACCAACAGTTCAGCACATGAGCGGCTTATTGAAAATCTTCCTGAAACTCAAGTTCCTAGACTTTAGCTTAAAGGATGGAAATCATTCCTGCTTGTATTAATTCTTCTGCACAGAATTTGTATGGCCTACGTTCAGAATTTTCATTATATTATTTTCATCATGTTCTGTTGGTCAAATCAAGTCACAAAACTGGCCCTAGATCAAATGATTGGAAAAATAGACTATTCTTTTGTGAGAGTGTAGGGATGGGAGGAAATTGGCTTTTTTTTTTCTTTCAATCACTACAGACACTATCATGTATTCAAATAAATAGTTTTAAAATCCAGTGATGTCTGTGTCTATAATTATAAATTTGCAGAATTTGCATGTCTGTTTTGGGTGAATTTTCAAAATTGAAGGTTGGATTTTTGTTAGTTCAAAAGATTTGGCTTAAGAAAAATAGAGGAAAATATGATTGGGCTGAAGTTGTATTATTCTGTTTTCCTAAATTTAATTAAAAACAATCTTGGTAAATATGAAATGACCTCTTCTCCACTACTTATTTTTCTTTAACTGTGCTGGCTTACACATGTCAAATGTTAATTTCCAATTAAAGTACTTTATCATTGTGTTCTGTTCTGTTCTGTTCTACTTTAAGAGAATGGCTGTGCTTAATCAGACCTCTGTCTTGGATATGATTAAAGAGTTTAGAAGGAATTGGCATGCT